GGATCGGGCCCCGCTGCGGAACAAGTATTTCTTCGGGGAGGGTTATACCTATGGGTCTCAGCTGCAGAGACGAGGCCCCGGCCAGGAGCGCCTGTATCCGAGGGGAGAGGTGGATGCTATCCCCGAGTGGGTGCACGACCTGGTGATCAGGAAGCTGGTGGAGCACCGGGTGATTCCCGAGGGCTTTGTGAACAGTGCCGTCATCAACGACTACCAGCCCGGGGGATGCATTGTCTCCCACGTGGACCCCATCCATATCTTTGAGAGGCCCATCGTCTCCGTCTCCTTCTTCAGCGACTCGGCGCTTTGCTTCGGGTGTAAATTCCAGTTTAAACCCATCAGGGTCTCGGAGCCCGTTCTCTTCCTGCCCGTCAAGAGGGGAAGCGTCACGGTGCTCAGGTAAACCCGCCCCGAGGCCTCCCGTTTAACGTGCTGGGGGCTCGGTTGTGTAACGCTGATCATGAGGCACGCGGATGCACGGCTCGGGCTTGATCTCACCCGCCTGAAAGCATGTGGGGTCTTGCTGGAAGGGGTGAAGGAAGGGTTTGGAGGGGATGGGGGTTTTAGGGATCACTGATTATAAGGAGGGTGCCCTCTCCACAAGGCTTGAGGTGAGTCCTGGTGGGAGCGAGGCCACTTTTGGAGCTGAGCTTTGCCTGTCAGTGGTTAAAATAACACATCGAGACACAAAATGGATCCTCTGCCCATGAGCGGTCAGAGCGGAGCAGCTGGTTGGGACAGGGCTCCTGGGTCTATTCTTAGCTCGGCCGGTGCCTTCCCGACCTGACCTTAAGCATGGAGAGAAGGAGGAGGTGTGAATGGCCTCATCCTCCCAGTCCCTAAACTGGGAATACTAAACCCTCCCCTACCTGATGCCAGTGGGGAGAGATGGGAGAGCAGAGCTCTGCGGGACTGTCGCTTGGAAGCACGGCGGGTCACGGGCACAAGGAGGGATTTTACTGTGCATTCATGCAAGCAGAGGAAGAGCTGTGGAGGTGAAATGACCTGCCCAAGGTCATGCAGCCAGTTGGTAGTAAAGCTGGGATTGGCACTGGGAAACTGTGCTGGGCAGGCAGGTAAAGGGACAGGGACAGGCGGGACTGTGTGGAGCTGGTACGTACGGACCCACTGGTGTCTTGGTCTTGGGGATCGCATCTCAAAGCCCAGCACTGGGGCTGCTTAGCTCAGTGAGCACCAACCTCTCGTGTCCCTGAAGGTCAGAGTGCTCCCTGCCAGGAGCAGGGATCACCCGGCCTCTGCCAGCAGTGCAGAGCTACCAGCTGTATCCTCATGTTTTAGGTCTGGGATTGGTGAAGGTCCAGGCCGGTTTTCAGGGCTCCCAAGCAGTAACACAATCCCTTCCATTGGCTTGTAAAGTGATCGCCGCAGGGTTCGGGAAGGAATTCTTCCCCCCACATCCACGCAGCCTCGCCTGGTGACTGGGGCATCAATAATAAATGCTGAGATCTCGCATCGCCTTCCTCTTGGAAAAGCTGCACAAACATTAACTAATCCATGGTGTATCCCCGGCGTTAGGTAACTTGTGTGGATTAGGGAGGGAAGCGGGAATGGCGCTGAGGACGTTTCCACCCTCGTTTTCCTGCTGGTGATGTGAACTCTTGTGCTGCCATTCCCTGGCAGGCCTGGAGTAAATAGTTGTCCTTCCTTTCAGAGCCAGAGGTCTTTTTCTAAGGACAGTGAGAGTGTTTCCTTGCTTAGAAGCACGTTGGCAGAGCTCTTAGTGCAGGGTCACTCTGGAGCCTTGCTGGCAAAGCCGCTAGGAAAACTCATGGCTTTACATCCAGAGGAGGATCAGGACTTGCAGTGGAGCAGGAGAAGTGCTTTTCTCTGCTCCACAACCAGGAAATGATGTTTTCTTATCCCGTATCCTCACATTTCCCTCTATCACCTCCGGGAAGAGGCAGCTGACTCAGGGCTCCTGGGATTGGAGAGGGTGTCTCTCAGGCCTGTGTGTTTGGGTTGTTGGCCAGGTCACTTGGGTGCTGTAATCTGTGTGTTAACTGAAGCAATGGTACAAATCAAACCAGGATAGCTTGTTTTCCTTCCAAACAGAAGGGTTGCTTTCTGACCCACCGCAGGCATTTATTCACTAGCTTAATCCCCGGTTAGATGTTCTGCTTTCCAGCAAATAATAGCCTTTAAAACAGGGATTATTTCAATTTTGGTACAGCAGTTAGCAGATACTTAGCACTCACTTAAGAGAGATTCTGCCAAAGTGATTGTTCTGTGGCGATATGATCCTGGCTGGATGCAAGTTCCTCGACTCCAGCACATCTTCTGTCTTCCCTTCTAATCCTGGTAATTCAGGGTTAGAGCAAGGAGAGGTGCAGCCCCTCGGTAGGCTCTCAGGGGTTTATATTCCAGATGCAGCCCTTGGTCGTGTTAAAGTCAACTCCCCAAACTTGGCTTTTTCTCCTCTCAGTAAACACTTCCTGAAGGCAGTTGCCCTGGAGATAGGGAAACGGCGCAGATAGAAATGGCATGCCTGTAATGTCTGTGATTCCAGTGCTGCTGGGGCAGTGGCTGCTGCCAGCAGTGCTGCCTTGCTGGGGAGCCAGGGCAGCCACATGGCTTTGGTTACCATGTGGAAGCCGTGAGGATCTAAAGAAAGCTGTTGGATCTCTCTCTGTGCCCTCACATCGCTCTCAGGCTGTCCCCAGGTCATGTCTGCCCTGTCCCTGCTCTCAGCAGCCTGTCCTCCACCTACCCAGCAGGGAGTTTGCAGAGGGGCTTTTCCCTGTATCCCTCCTTCGACTCTATGTGCTCACCATGAAGCAGGCTGCGGTGTTTGCACATGCTGAACCTGCCTCGGGCTCGCTGGAGAGCATTGAGTCCTCAAACAACGTGTTTGTGTTTAAAAGGTGGAAGTGAGAGTCTCCTGCCTGGGCTGAGCACCTTTGCCAGCAGGACAAAGGCTGAGCCACTCCACAACCTGCTAATGAGCCCTTTGCTCTTCCAAGCAAAACATTTCTTCCTCTCTTCTCACATCCCTGGTGAAGATTTGCCCTTGTAGGTTTGAATTCTAGAAGATGACCTCCTCCTTGTGGGTTTTGACTTAAGGAAGACAACCTCCTCCAGTCCCTGTTCTCTCACAGCACCAGGAAGCGGATGCTCCTTCAGGTTTGTCCTGCTGCTGGCCACACCAAGAGAAGGTGGCAGCAGCTCCTTGGTCTGTGCTGCTCCTCTGAGGCAGAGCTAAGTGGGGTTTCAATCCTGTGGACCATCAGCTTTCTGGACCTTGTTTGTGGGTTTTCTTTTTCTAACAGTAATTTGATAAGCATCGATCGATAGAGGCAGTGGGGAGGAGATGGAGGAATTTGCCTGTTCATCTGGGGAACATGTGCTTTGACAAATGCTTTGGCTGGGTAAAAGGAAGGGAGCTGTGGGGATTGCAGAGCCCTTGTATGATACACAGGCTTCCCTTCCGCAGCTGGCGAGTGCTCCAGGTTGTGTTTGTAGTAGCAGTGGCAATGTGATGTTTGTGTCTCCTGTTGTCTCGGGGCATGCCTGATGGTAGTGTAACCAGAGCTGGTTGTAGTCTGAGGGTGAACCTGCTTTCTTCACAGCCAGAGGAATCTCTCCACAACTGCCTGGATTAGATGCTTTACCCAGAAAAGTCTGATCCCTCAGCACAGGCTGTTGGTGCAGGGGAAGTTCTGTGTGTGCCAGTGGCGAAGAGGCAAATAGATTTGTTCAAGTTCTGCTTGAGATGGTTGGTGTCACATCCATGGTTTGTGGCAACAGCTTTCCTGAACCACAAGTAAAGCCCTGAGCTGCTCAGCCCTGTGATGGGCCAGTGTGTGAGGTCCCTCTGTCTCTGAGCTCCCCTGCCTGTCCTCAGCCCCTGGAAATACATCTCATTAGATGCAGAGCTTCAGGGCCTCCTTTCTGGTGGTGTTTGTGCAGAAAACCCTGCTTTCATCTCCATGTGAATCAGTTATGTTGTGGCTCAGCAGCAGCTCTTCTGGACTGAAAAAGAGACTCGGGCAGGAGCTGGGGGTGTGAGATGTGACAGGTTGGTTAGGAGCTGGGGTGTGAGTTGGGGGAGTGTGTGGATAGCACCTGCACCTCCCCATGTTCTTCTGGAAAATGCTCTAGGCTGGAGACTTGACGCTTGAGTGTTCTCATGAATAGCAGTTCAGGGGGTTCCTTCCCAAGTTGTCTCTTCCCTCATGTGTTGGGTTTATTCTCTGTGTGAGAAATCTCTGGGTAGACCCTGGGTGTCATTATGGGTGTTTTGTCCCATGTCTGCCCCTTCACCCATCATCAGGATGCATCGAGGCCGGGCAGAGGG